GCTCAAAATTCCGCAGTTTCGAGAACGGAGAAATTTGAAAAAAATTGCCACAATTTTGAATTATCGCATATATGAAGCTATTCAAACTCGTGAAATTCATTGGCGTTTCCAACTGAAATTATGTAGAAACTGTGGAATAATTGATAAATCTCGGGTTATTAGGAATTTGGTCGTGATGTTTCGCTATCACGCATGGCTACCATCTTCAGAGGTTTGTAAGTTTCGGCGATGTTCATCAAAAAGTTTCAGAAGTAAAATAAATAAATCCCAGCCCCTAGAGAAGCAGGAGATGGAGCTGGTGAAGGAAAGTGATGCGGAGTAGCTGCAGCAAATTGAATTTCAATAAACAAATTTCTCAGTGCTCGAATTTCCTTTCAGTGAAACTCGCTGAGTATTTTCAGTGTATATTTTATGACAATAAAATAGGTAAACTAAAATAAATTACACTTCAATAAAGAACAACAAGAAAGGTTGCGAGATTTAGAACAGTTTGAAAGTTACGTTGGAACGGCTGCTTGTGATGGTTGAGGGCAGCAAGTAATTCCTGCAGGATGGCGGATCCTTAGTCGATGCTGACTTCTGGTAAGCACCTGTCTGATGGTGCGTTTTACGTTGTCAATGTCCAATTTGCAGCAGCACAGATTCAGGTAACTAAAGCGAAAAATAGATAAATATCGCCGAAATATTCACAGCACAAAGAGCATTTTTGCAGTGTTACAGCAGCCTTCAATAAGCCTTAGCGCAGTAGTTGAGACAGTATACTTTTTGGAACACTCTGTATTTTAGGTGATAAGCCAAAGAGTTTTTGCCCTGAACAGTAATTAATGATTTTGCTGTCAATATACTGGGTGAGCCATTGAAAACGATTTTGGCAATGTCTGGGAAGTTTTCGAGAAGAGTCGAAATTTTCGAGTTTATAAAGCCCAGTTACAAACCGTTGAGTTACAAGCCGGACCGTAAAAGTGCTTATTTCCAAGCGCTTTTTCACATTAAGCCAGTTGAACAACATGGTACTTCCAAATAAGTTAACTAAGCAGAGTAAATTGCATGTTTAAGCAGCGAAACGAGCTCAGTTAGTGCGTGGAACAAGCACAAGTTCTCAACAGTGTCACAAGGACTGGTTTCGGACCTACTAGCCCTCATCAGTTAGCAGGCTTGCAACAGTGGCCTTCCAAAAAGCCGAAAAACCCTGTTCTTCTTGGGTACTTTGGAAGCTATAAAGGATGATAGGTCGGAAGCCGGTCCTGGACTTGCTTGAATCGACTAAGCAGTTAACACACTATTTTGAAGCTGAGTTAAGTTGGAAGCTGGACGGTTTGATGCAGCAGCATATCGACTCAAAAATCATCTACTTACTTAAAATACAAAAATAACTAAAATTAGCTTCTTACGCCATCATCTTTTTAAGGAATGCTGAAAATCATTAGAAAAACGACGGTTATCATCTACTGTGGATGTGGATTCCTAAGAACTACTGTGCAAATGATCGCTACTGACTACGTTTTGGAGGATTTTGCAAAAAATCAATGACAACTGAATAGAAATTGTAAAATTGCAGTTTTTCCAACCAATCAGTTTCGAGTAGATACTTACGTTCGTAAGGGACAAATCCTTCATCATCTTCTTTATCCAGACAGTCAGCGATGACCTGGTCGGTCTCGACGTCTGATAACCTTTCGCCTAATGTGCAAGCAAAAAAATTAAAAAAACATCCGCCGATTTGATTGATTTAGAATAAACCTACCAAGGGACAGGAGGGTGTGGGCAAGTTCAGCAGCCATCATTGTGCCGTTTTCTTCTTTGTCGTAGAGTTTCAAGGCTTCGAGAAAGTCGTCAAAGTTGCCCTGCTCTTTGTCTTTCTTCACTTGGCTGTAGATGGGGAGGAATTCATCGACTTTCAATTTCTTCTCATCTACCACGCAAGGCTTCGGTTAGTAATCAGTTTATGCGCGACTTATGAGTTGCACTTACTCTTCTTCTTGGTACCACCCAGTTTCTCGATGGTGGCAAGGGTGGGGTTCAAGTTGAGGGCACGAAGCATATCGCCCAGATTGACGGCATCAACAGTACCATTTCCTTCGAAGTCGTAGATGGAGAAGACAAAGTTTGCCCCTAAGTGGAGAAAACGCCATTAAAAAATCTTCAGCCGTTTCAACATCAACTTGTCGAGCCAACTGGTAATCAACATCAATTAGCCTCAAGTTTGCCACGCTCAGCTTCCTAACGATCTGGGTTAGTATGACGAGTCCCAAACAAATGCTTCTGCCAAAAGCTATTCTCGACCCAAGTTTCTTTCCCGATTTATTTTTAAACCCAGCCAGAGATTTCATTCGCTCTCCAAGGTAACCTTATATGAACTGTTGAGTGTGTAATTTTAGATTCAGGATTTCGTTCGATTTGCTGGTTTAGCTGTTCGAAAGCGATGCGATCAATTTTGCAAATTTTTGAAACTTGAGGCATTTTTTTAGGCTGCTATGAGTTGGGCAAAAAAGTGCACACGATCAGAACGGGGGAGATTTTTCGGGGATTTAAGTTGAGCAAATAAACGCTGAACCACGACTTAACAGCTTGATCTCGTCAGTTTATGGGGCTAAAATGGACGGGTTTTGAAGAGAATCGTGGACACTAATAAATAGTTTAGTCATAGGGAAATTCGATAATTATGATGACAAAAACCATTGAGTCAAGTGGCAAAAAGAGAAGATTCTGCACAGGCTTTAATGGACGCTGCGAAACCCCACTTTGGCATTTTGAGCGCACTTTTCCTTCAAGAAGGCAAATTTTCGAACCTAAAAAGGGCGTATTTTCCCAATCTCTACCGCTGTTTTAAGCAAAATTGATATTTTTGGACCTTACAAGGACTGGACTATGAAAAAAATCCTGTGGATGCTACTAGAGATTACTGACATCTTACAAAGAGTACATTTGCTTGGATGCTTAGATTTTTAGACCAGAGTGTGAAAATCCGTAAAAATCCCAAAAAATTAGGCCGCAAAAACCAATATTTTCCTAAACACGACGAAGTCTTACTGCAGAAAAGCTCATTTGTTGCACGAAAAATTCTAGATTAAGCTCCGTGAAAAATCTTTGTCCCGCTCCGATTGCAGCTGAACTTCGATGTTTCTCTACTAAACTGATTCAAGAGTATCAGTAAAGAATGTCCATATTTCCTCAACAAACCAAAAAAATGGTGCTTGAAATCATGGGAAAAAATGGGTCTTTTGAGCTCTTAAATCGGCAAGAGCTCAAACTAATATTTGATCCTTGAAGGTTCCACGTATCAGGATAAATTCGCAGAAAATCGCAAAAATTGCACCTTTTTTCCTAAAAACAGCCCCTTCAAAGAAGCGAATCGAGTTCATGTGTAACAAAAACGTGCAAAAACCGAAGTAAACTGGGAGAGATAAAGTTGAAAACTGTGTTTCCAGGACAGTCCAAAGGCCTCAATTGTGTTTTAAGAGACCTGAAGAAAATGCCAAATCCACACTTTATCTTTGATTTGAAGAAAATTTTGTGAAAATCAGTGTTAGAGCTGGAAGTAAGAAAATACTCAAATATCAGTGAGTCAACGAAGCTTCCAGTAAACTTCAGAAAAAAACAGGTTCAAAGACAGTTTGAGAAACAAGCCGTGAAACTGAAACTTAAAAACATTCATCAAATCTGAACATTTCAAGCCCTTATTTGCTTTCATGTACAATTTTAAAAACCTAATAAAACCCCATTTTTTTAGCAAATCAAATGCAAATGCTTCAGGCGTCATTTTCCGGCAATAAAAGTCAGTTTTTCCAGTCCATATGAAAGTAGAAAGCGAAATATACACATAGGAAAAGCTGCTATAAAACCTCTAGTTATTTTATAAAATACTTGTTTAATGTGTACTTACTCTCAACGTCCCTAGCGCTCAAGTCTGCCTAGAATTGGAAAAACACATACTCATTAAAAATGTAAAAATAACAGGAAAAAGGGAAAAAACCACAGACAAGGACATAAACGATTATTAACGTACATAAAAGCTTGCGGTGAATCACATTGGTTTCAAAAATAGAAAACATTGCCGAACTATGAAATTAACTTCAAAAAACTTTAATTTGGATTCATTTTTCCAAGCTGATGGCTTGTTTTGCTGGGTTTAATTGATTGGAAACTAAACTTGGCGTGACTCAAAACGCTGAAAAGCGGCCAAAATAAAAATGTAGAATTTCTGCGTAGGTTTAGGAGAAATAGAATGGACAGTTGGCGTCCAATTACGAAAACAGGCTTCAGTCTGGCAGCGATCCAGAAAAAAGCACATCGTTATCGGGTTACGAGAGGTATTTTTCGGAAAAAAATATGCGATTAAATGAAAATCCCGGATTAGTGCGGCAATGTTTCGGAGTCCCGGACACAAAAAGCACAAAAATCAAAAAGACACGAACACAAAGGTGTGGCGGGTACGATTACAGGACAGACACAAAATCCACATAGAACATGAATGGCACGTAGCATTTTTAAGTACCTATAAACCCGGTGCGTCTGAAAAACGTCCTAAAAAATGAAAAGTCCCTTTGGAAAAATCGGTTTAAAAGAATCAGAAATAAGTACTATTTTCGTTTTGTAGACTTTTCGCTTCCAGTACTTTACGGCTTTCACATAAGCTGGATCGCCGACGTTGATCTTTGGCAGGGGAATCTGCGGACTGGTATAGACCGTTGTCGAAGATTCATCCACTTCGGCGGCCACTCGCTTAATAAACTCTTGCAAATCCCCGGATATATCAACTACACTCTCTTTCCTTTCTTCGATCACTGTGTCGGCGTAAGTGGCCATTTCTTTGACTTGCCACCGGCCCCCGATATTGTTCAAGACTTCAACGGACACAAGGAACACAGCGTTGGCGGTAAATTGCAAACGAGTGATCAAAAATAATGTTGGCATTGCGCTTTGGATGCAAAAGTGCACATAATTTTTAATGAGCCACATTCTTAATAGTCCTAGGTCAGACTCAATGGCCGACATTCGCATGCTTTATGTGACATTAATTGATTACGCGCCGCTAATTTAGTTATTTTAGGACTGTTCAGTTCTTCAACTAATTCGCCTGGAATGGACGCTTTGCGGAAAACCTCTTTAGACTTGCGAAACGCCACATCTGTATACCTAAAATCACAAAATCCACAAAAGACAAGTGCGTTTTTATGTTATTATTCTGCTCCTCAAGGCGCAAGAAGCTCGAAAAATCGAGCAGCAGTTTTACCCAAAAAAATCAGCAACAAGCTGGATGTTGCATGCTGCAAACACCCATAAAAGGCCCGCCATTCGCACCCGAAAAAAACCTGGACGCAACACGCCAACCTGCACAATTTTGGACCTCGCTCAGGCCTCCGATACCGCTCCCCATCAGCGAATTACACCCGACGCTTTTTCCAAAATTCGCAAATGATCGAAGAACAACCCGCGGGTCAACAGCAAAGCAAACAATCCCCCAAGCTTAAGGGCTGATAGGCAACAATCGGGACTTACCATTGTGGATGATGTGCTGGTGCTTTGCCTTCTGCCAGTAAAAACCAGAAGTGGAGCCGGAGTTTTAGAGTGGATCGAGTTTTATTGGGGCAGATGGCGCTGCAACGACGTCCAGCCTGAAACTGAAACCATCCCGGGTGGGCGCTTTTTGCCGCCTTGGGAGCGTCGACGTCGCCTAACAGGGGCGCACTTCAAGGAGGAACGTTTTTGTAAATTCCTGTTTTGAGGGCACTTCAAACGGCATTCTGGATTGAAGATGAGTGTCAATTGAAGACCGTAGAAGACAAGGGAAATTCTAGTGAAGCAAATGCAGATTTGCATCTTGGGCCACACAAGAGGACAAGATGAGGTGGAGGCTTTCGTTCGTCCAGTCCAGTTCGTTCTCTGGTGGAAAATTGAGTAAAACCGTCGATTAATCATAGAGCTGCAAGGCTTTGAGTTTGGAGAATTGACACTTGACGTGAAGAGTTTCACCGGGTTTCTTTAACACATCAGGTCAAGAGCAGGGAATTTTATCTTGTGTGCAAAAGACCAATTTTCAGTCCGGTTTCGGCAGTTTGGTCAATGAAGGTTGTTGAAGAAGCCAATGCAGCTAGAAATAATTCAAAAGAGCTTCTTAACAGGGTTGAAAAACTGCAAGATGCTTGATTTTCTTGGGAATTCGGTGTGGGCAGTGGTGAAGAAAAAGAAAAACTTTTTTAGACCGAAATTTTTTTCTCACCTTAGCGAGAGACAGCTGCGATTAAAAGCAATTTTGCCAATGCTGAGTTATTTCCAGGCTTTCTAATTAGAGACATGGTTGGAATTTCCACAGGTGTGCTAAATTCGACGGTTCACACGTGAATTAAGCAAAACTAATTTTCCATTCAGGAGCGTAACTGAACTCGGTTGTACCCCTCGCACTCATAGGCGTGTGAGAGAGATGCAAGACGGTCTGGGCGATGCTGCGTTCCAAATTGATGCATTCGCAGCTCAAAATTCCGCAGTTTCAAGTACGGGGAAATTTGAAAAAAATTGCCACACTTTTGAATTATCGCATATATGAAGCTATTCAAGTTCGTGGACTTTATTGGGGTTTCCAACTAAAATTATGTAGAAATTGTGGAATAATTGATAAATCCCGGGTTATTAGGAATTTGGTCGTGATGTTTCGCTAGCACGCATGGCTACCATCTTCAGAGGTTTGTAAGTTTCGGCGGCGAAAGCCCCAGATGTTCATCAAAAAGTTTCAGATGTAAAGTGGACAATTTATACTTTGTTAACTTTGCTGAAAAAGTTTTTCTTTTTCTTCACCACTGCCCAGGCCGAATTCCCAAGAAAATCAATCATCTTGCAATCATTCGATATCGGTAATGAAACTGAACCTAGTGTTTAAAAAGATAGTTATTTTCTCGATTTTCACTCGGTTTTCGGTTGTTTGGTTCATAAAAGTTTAGCGCAAAAAGTATTTAGAAAACTGATACACTTGGAAAATGCTTGAGATGGCATTTGCGTCCCTAACTGGCTTTCTTGTGGCTTCATCCCGAATCATCCAGTTCGTTTCCTTGTGAAACTGAAGAAACTTTTCTCCTAATCATGGAATTACCAGAAAATTGGGTGAATTTGTAGACAAGACACTCAACAGTGTTGCTAAAGAAGGTTAATTTTTTATTTTTACTCTACAGTTAACTGTAAATACTGTTTAAAAACACGTCCACTAGGAAAACGCTGGAATGGACAAGACACTTAAGCCTCAACAGTGCTTCCAAAAGTAGCAACTTTTTCGATTTTCACTCGTTTTTCTTCGAATTGGGTTCTTTCGCAGCTCGTAATCTTCATTGGTTCAAACAAACTTTCGCTTTCCTCGCCAAAGTATGTTGAATTCCTGTCGCTTAATGAGGCTGTCCCGGCCCTGTACTGCGGTAAATTTAAAATTAGCCGGATTCCTAAAAATACCCGATTCGAACCGTTGTGATTTTTCGTCAATAGTGGGAGAGTCAACATTTTTGGCAATAATCTACAACACCTTGTCTAAGGTGAAGCATATGGGAAGTATGTAGGTCATTTGGGAGAAAATGGTGTCGTATTCCTTGCTCGCATTGCAAAAATCAAGGAAAATACAATAATATCATTTGTTTAATATTCTAGACTCAGTGTACAAAATTGTAATTTTTATCACAATGAATCATGGGAAATATTAGAAAACATTTAACGAATAAATCACCTTCTAGTCGAATACATAATGCTAGAGATATATTTTACAATTTATACGGAAAAGGACCTGTGGGTGGAATGCTATGCTGGAAAGCCTCAACTCTCACTGGCACATTAACTAGATTGCGGATAAACGTGTATAATTCTCTAAAAAAGACCTTCGATCCATTGCATAGGAAACATGAAACTTTCAGTCGGTCAACAGCAAAAACGCGCCTCTCTGGTAAAATCCTGCGGATGCACCAATATGCAACCCAATTCACTCCTGCGAGCAAATTATCGGGTTTGCCAACCAGAACGAGGGGACAGCAGCAGGAGTTTTTGCGATCAATCAACAACATCAGCCTTAAATCTACTTTGCCTAGCAGCTTATTCGGTAACACCTTCAACATTGATTTTCTCGGCTAATTATGCCTAGAAAACTGGTAAACTTTCAGAAACTTAACAGACGTGATGAGAACCAAGTGAAGCGAGTAGGAAGAGTTTGAGGCCCCCTACGGGGCCTAAAAAATCGTGAACCTTCGCCCCTCAACCACTCAGCCTCACAAAGTTTGATTTGGTTGCTTGTATTGTCTATAAAACACTAGGCAGCACCAAATGCTAGGCCAAATTTGTCGTTTTCTCTATGGTGCGTCTCCGACTCAGCTGCCTCCAAAATCGGCCGTTCCTGCTGTCCTGCAGGTGCAGAATTTGTAAATTTGACCAGAAATATAAACGCTGAGTACCTTCAACTCCTTGGATGGGGTTTTGCTGGGCGAGTCGCTGGACGGCGCTGAGTCAGAGTCATCAGCTTCTTGGAACGTTTTCAGTGCCAGAGCATTGGCGGGATACTTTTCGTATATTCGACGCTCGGTCCTTCTAACGTTGAAAAATTCGAATCTAGTGGAAAATCACGTAGACCATTAGGCGTATTGTAGGGGTTCCCGATGCTTACATTCTAATGCTTTTGGTCCGTGGGATCCGCTCAATGCTGGCAAATTTGGCTGCTGGACGGAAATGCCGAAAAAGCAGGACCGGAGTGGGGGGCCCCCTACTGCTATCTGCCGCCTCCAAGACTGCATCCTCCGCCGCCTCCACTATCTTGCGGTAGCTCTCCGATCGCGGCATATTCGGCGAGGGCCGTGCTGTCTGAAAAGCGCCTACTTTTCCGCAACATCCTGCCAAAAGGATCAACACTAAAGTACCCAAAGAAAAGTTCAGGCAATCAACTGTGTCTTTGTCTGGGCACATGTTTATAGGCCTGGGTAACTCAGTGAATTTGTAGGAGTTGGCGCAGTGCTGCGCCAGTGGCTGGGTGCGCCAACCCAACGCACCGGCGCAATAACTCAGTTCCGTTGACCTCCAAGTGTTTGAAAACACAGCTTGAAGGGCTTTAAAAACTTGTGACCTCTGGAGCTTTATCGGTTTTTTAGCTCAATTTTCGTACGTACTCAATGCACACTTCAGACCAAAGAAAATGCCGTTTGATTGGAGTAATTGATGAAATGTTCCTTACATACCCGCGTCGTCTGCGCAAACCTTCTGGGCTTCTCCCCACTCCGAGGAGAGACTCTGGCTGGTTGTGGCTGATTGGCGGGCGTTTTCCTCGGGAGACGTGGTGGTCGCAACGCTTCCGCTCCAGCTGCTCGACTGGGGTGGGCGCAAGTCGGCACCCTGCGCCCACCCGTTTGGTGCGACTGCGGCAACATCCGGAAAACATGTGTCAGCAGCACTTCCACTTCGGATGTCCTGCCCGCAAGGTAAAATAGTCAACAGTCTAAATGCCTTTGCCAATGAGCCAATGAGCAAATTCCGCCTCACACCACTCCACTCCGCAAAACAAGGAAATCGTTTTTTACAAACTTCTTTTTGGGTATTTCGCCTCATAAATTTTTGTCTTTAAAAAGACAGAATTTCCTCACGTCTTTTATTACAGATTGATAGATAGTGCGCCTATTTCGCAATAAGAACGAATTATTTATCAAAAAGTAATCAAGAACTTTCACCTAGAGGGTATCCTGCGACACACTTAGGCTCAAGCTGT